AACGAATGATAAATGAGGCTTTGTGAGCAAAATATAACTTTAAATCAGGAGTCTTTAGTTTCCAATCCAGGGTGAAAGTAGCTTCACAATACTGAAATATTAGGAAATTTCAGATTCTTTTCTTAAGTGAAGTGGTGTTTGCGTGACACATGTTCCTAGGAAGAGACAACTCTGTCTTTAAAACAAAAAGAGAAAGAAATCCAAATACATACTGAATTTTAAGTTGCATGCATGAATATATAGGAGCATTTTAATTATCTTAGAAACTCAAGAGCCAACATTTTGCATTTCTTATATAAATATTTAAAATTGTTTCTCTGCATTAGGACTAATGCCAAAGAAATCAATTCTTGTAAGAAGAGCTAACAATCTACTCTGTAAACGCCTATTAGTTATTTTATTTATGACAAGAGACAGTGCACAATAATTTCATATTCATAAAACCACTCATTTTTATTGGAAAAGCAGTGTTTAAATCTTTTACAGACAGGTAAGGTCTTACTGAATATTTATGATCACTCACAGTGAGCGTGTCAACAATCTGACAGAAACATGGGTATATCTGACAGTCTGTAACTAACATCTGACAGCCCCTGTATGATCTGTCATTTTATTATGAACATATCTTGTGTAACGAAAGAATAAAGCAATGCTTTTGTTGTTGCCATGCATTTTATTACATGAATTTTTTTGTACACCGAGTCTCTTAATTACATGCCATAAAAGGATGTCCAAATGCACCACATAGGACAAATTGGCCATAGCTACCTCACATGCCTGCTAAAGACCTGTCTACTTGAATCTGGTTGGTCTTAGTCTGGTAAACTTAGTCACACGATCACATCTACCAGGAAGAGTGGGTTGGTGACTGGGATATTCGCAGACCCAAAACTGTAATTGACCCAAGAAGTTTAGCAAGCTTCAGCACTCCCTCACTAGTTGGGGGAGACCTTACTCCAGTGTCAAAATCAATGAGTCATCTATTTCTTCCCCAGAACTTGTCTGTTTGGTTCGGGTCTATATTGTGGCACTAGGGCCCATTTTGGGACACAGGAACATGCAGCAGAAATCTGACTTGAATTTCTTTACAAAAATAGTGTTGCATTCTGATGATGTGAAGGACAATATCATGATTTGCCTTTTCCTTGGAAGTCTAGACGGTAGGGGTAGGGAGAATACGGGTATGTGAAAAGAGGGCACACCAGCTCTGCAATGAGGGCCACTGTCAGGAGATTAAAATAAAGAAAGAGACAGGGAGAAAAATCCTACCATGAAGCACATATGGAAGTTCAACAAATACAATAAAGTCCTATTGCATTAACGTTAAATATACAGATACCGAGGCCAGTGGCTCCTAAACCAATCTTCGCAGAACTCCAAAATTTCAGGTTTGGTAAATATCCCTATAGGAAAAAAAATGCATAATTCCTGGTCCATTTGTGTGCCTTGAGAACTGAGTTGGGAACCAATGATGTAAGGTACCACCATTAGGAGGCACTGTTACATTATGTGTATATGATTGTATGTAATAGTAGTATCACTCTGTGATGGCATTAAATATCAAATATTCCTTCTTCCTATCTCAGATAATACTCTTAGAAATTGTATTATAAAACAAAGAGGTGAAAATAAGGCATCTGACCCTCTCCAATTTGTGTGGGCTTGAGCTGTGAAATTCTGATTGATTGAGGAGAGCTGCCAGTCAATCACATGCACCCTCCATGGACTGATGATACAGATATTTCCTTAGAAGCTTGTGCATGGCTTCTGCTCTAGGATTGCACGCCTGGTACACGGGCTAATTTTCTCCAGAGAAGCAAGTTTGCACTTATGTGTACTTAAATAATGTAAAAATTCAGCAAATACCAGTCTTTGACAAAGGGCTTTAAGCATACAGTGTTTTCCCCCACCCTACAGTCTTGCTCAACTTTGATAAAGTGAATAAAGATTTATATTGTCATCCCCTGTTTAGGGTCTGTCAATGTACTCGAATACATTACATATGGATGAGGAGACCTCACCAAGGTTGCCCTACTGTCCTTCCATCTCACTTAGAGCTGTACTGGATCACTATGAAACTGGGAGATTTAACAGTGGGCTCCCCCAGTTTAGGCTGGCCAGGAGGCTAGGTGAGTGAGGCCCAGCAGTTGGCTGATCAGGGCAGAGCACCAGTGTGGTGCTCCACTCAGGACTAACGTTCTACCTGCTACAAGCAACTGTTACACAGCAAACACAAACAACATCAGCTTTCTCTCGATTGTGGCTGCAGATATTTGCCTTTCGTCTGTCTGATTATTTCCTTAGCTAAGTTGAGGTCAGATAAGTATGCCTCTCACAGGCGACATGGAGCTTTCCCGGAGATATTAGGAAGGCGAAGCATCTGGAGTGTAGGCTGGAGGAGGAAGGCAGAAAGATCCACGCTGCCTGACTGTGTGGGTGAGTTATTAATGACACCCATGGCCCCAGTCTTTAACTAATAATAAAATTAAAAATAACAGAACAGTAACCAATCTTACTTAACTGCAAAAGGGAAATATTTATTTGTTAAACTTTTTGAACCCCTGCTGTTTCTATTTCTGTCAGACCAGGGAAATAGTAGATTTGCACATTCAGCTTCATACAAATTGCGATTCATCTGACTTTTTGGCAATCAGCAGATTGTCAGAATTCTGGAACTCTGAAGCACCGTATGAAAGTATCATGAACAAACGAACCAGACAATGGACGGGCATATTTGTTTGTTCTGTGATTTGGAGGTTCGTCTGTGGTGCCAAAATAAGAGATGAATGATGGTTAGGAGACAGCCACTTAATGTTGATTTTATTCATAGATCAAGTGATAAGTCACCAATAGAGGGGGGAAAAGGGGGAGCAGTAGATAAATAAATATGAAATCTGGATTAAAAATATAGGTGGTTCTACAAGCTATTTAATTATAAGGTCTACTTAGCTTTTCACACATGGCTTCTCCATTTTGGCTTTATTTTTGTTAAATAAATCATGACACGGTGTAATATGCCCTGTGTTGTAGAATTCAGAGGGGGTGTACTTTATTTTTCCCATAATTATATATTGAATAGACACAAAACTGAAAAACCGCACTACTGGGACTTGAAATAGATAAAATAAAATTTGGCTTTTGTTGAACATTATCCATAAAACAGTTTAATTCCTAGCATGGAGCTTTCATCAGGACTTAATGTTTTATTTTATCTATTTCAAGTCCCAAGAGTGCGGTTTTTCTGTTTTATGTATAAGTTATGCCAGACCTGCACCGGGCATTATCTCTACTTACCAGGAGTGCAAGTTATGGAGCTATATATATATATACAGACACGGTTAGGTCTGGAAACTTTTGGACAGTGACACATTTTATTATTTTGTCTGTTTACCAAAATAGATTCAAGTTACTGTTAAATAATGAATATGGGATGAAAGTGCAGTCTCTCAGCTTTAATTTGATAGTATTCACCTCCAAATTGGAGGAGGGGTTTAATAATTACAGGTCTTTATTATGTGCCCCCTCTTTTTCAAGGGACCAATAGTAATTGGACAATTGACTCAAAAGCTGTTTCATGGACAGGTGTGGGTTATTCCTTCCTTATTTCTTCATCAATTAAGCAAGTAAAGGGTCTGGAATTGATTCCAGGTGTGGCATTGGCATTTGGAGCTGTTGCCTTGAACCCACAACATACTGTCAAAGGAGATCTCAATGCAAGTGAAACAGGCCATTCCTAGGCTGCAAAAAAATAAATCTATCAGAGAGATAGTAGGAACATTAGGAGTGGTCAAATCAACCATTTGGTACATTCTGAGAACAAAAGAACACACGGGAGCTCTGCAACACAAAAATGCCTGAATGTCCACAGAAAACAACAGTGATGATTGATCATAGGATCCTTTCCGCGGTAAAGAAAAACCCCTTCACAGCATCCACCTAAGTGAAGAACACTCTCCAGGAACACTGGCATACCTACCACGGTCACAGGGGTCGCAGCTGTTACCAGCCCCTCACTCCAGGGGGCCCAGCCGCAAACCCCTACGACCATGGAGGTCTGTCAGGAAGGGAGAGCTGCGCTGTGCTGCTCCCCTCCTGCCTGTGTGTAGCGTGGCCGAGCGGTCTGACAGGAAATGTTTACTGTTAGAGCACTTCCGGTCAGACCAAGAACCGCAGCCAGTAAGGTACAGGAGGGGAGGGGGGAGAGAGGATGGGTATGTGACACAGGGAGGGGAGTGAGATGGAGGGTAAGGTACACAGGGAGGGGAGGGGAGAGAGGTGGTGGGTAAGGTACACAGGGAGGGGATGGAGGAGAAATGGAGGGTATGGGACACCTGGAGGTAAGGGGGAAGAGAGGGAGAAATGGGACAGAGGGAGGGGAAGGAGGAGAGAGGAAACAATGGGACACATGGAGGGGAAAGAGGGAGGGTATGGAACACAGGGAGGGTAGAGAGGTAGGAATGAGAATCAGGGAGGGGAGGTGAGAGAAAGGTAGGAATGAGACACAGGGAGGGGAGGGTGAGAGATGGAGGGTATGGGGCACTGGGAGGGAAGTGGGGAGAGGTGAAGGATATGGGACACAGGGGGGGTGAATGAGACATATGGAAGGGGGACCCCAGGGCAATTTTGGCACCAGGGCCCAGTGGATTCTTGTTATGCCTCTGTCCAGGAGGTAGGCATATCAGTATCCAAAATAAACACAAAATTTGCTACAAAGTGAAAAATACTTCAATATGACGCAGCTTCCCAGGTGGTATTTCCCAGTTTACCCCCTTTCTTACACAACACATGAATTAATGAATGCAGAATTTATATTAAGCATTTATTCATATAATTTCTGCATTCATCTAAGTCCTCAGTCCACTTCTTATAGTATACCATTATATCAGTATGTTTTGTTATCAGCCATCCCCGGCTGCCAAATATGATCAGTAATAAGAGTTTCTTTTTAGAGCATTCCTTTAATAGTGGTTGGTGTTGATAAAGTTGGGTTGCGTTCCAGCATGGAGCTAGAATGCAAGAAAAAAGTGGAAGCAAGCAAGTACGTGACGGTACACGGAAGAGAGTGGTGGAGCACAACCAAAATGGTGCCGGAACGCAGGACGTCGTTCCGGCACGAAATCCCCGGCGATGACAGAAATCAGCTGGGAGCCCGGGAAACATCATGATAGGCAAGACACCACCCTATCAAGATTACAGAAAAGGCCAACGCTCATTGACCCACCAATGACTGAAAAGGACTAGCCCTATTTAAAGGACTTTGGGAAAAGGGTAATTAGGCTTCTTGACACCTAAGGGTGTTTTTTGTATTTTTGTTTGTATTATTTATGTCCCTGAAGAAGTTCATACTAGTGGAAGAAACGCATTGGACAGAGATTTTTGTACACATTTTTAATTTTGTAATTGTTTTTAATACTATTTGTATTAAATAAATCGTTTTGAAGCATGGAGTTAAGTATCCCGGCTTTCTGATATATTGTGAGGATCTGCAGCAGGAGGAACTAAAAGAAGGTGATAGCCCCCAGCCTTTACCAGGGGAAGCACCCCCAAGGCGCCGTTTCTCATATACACTGTGAGTGCATTCTAAGAAGTGCATTTGTCATTGTATCTAACTATATTACATTACGTTTGGTTTAATTTTTCTTTTATAGATGCTTAGCTGATTCCCAAATATTGTTGTTATATTATATCAGTATCCAAGTCTACCATAAAGAGAAGACACCAAGAGAGCAAATACAGAGGATTTACCACAAGGTGCAAACCATTCATAAGCCTCAAGAATAGAAAGGCCAGATTAGCTATTGCCAAAAAAATTCTCAATACCAGCCTTTACCAGAATGATGGGAAGAAAAATATATAGAGAAGACTTGAAATGGCTCATGATCCGACACATACCATAGCTTCCAAAGGCACTGGTTCATTAGTGTTTATTGATAACGTGATGGAAGACAGAATTCTGAAGTGTATAGGTCTATGTTGTCTGCTCAGATTCAGCTAAATGATTGGACAGCGCTTCACGCTTTAGGGAAAAGAAGTGAACTATTCTGCAATGGCCAAATCAATCACCTGAACTCAACCTGAGCGAGCATTGATTTTCCTTGCTGAAGATTAAACTTAAGGCAGAAAGACGCACAAACATCAACTGAAGACAGCTGCAGTAAAGATCTGGTGAAGCTTCATAGAGGAGGTAACCCATCTTTTGGTGTTGTCCATGTGTTCCAGAGTAGTTCAAGCAGTCATTGCCTGCAAAGGATTCTCGAAAAAGTATTAATTAAAAATTAATATTTTATTTATGATTGAGTTAATTTGTCTAATTAAATTTAAGCCCCTAAATTAAAGAGACTGTGTATAAAAATTAAAATTAAATTAGAATTAAAGATGAAAGCCTGCACTTCAATTGCATCTCAGTTGATTCATATCTATTCCATTGTGGTGGGGGACAGAGCCAACATTCCAGACCTAACTGTTTAAAGAAAAAAGATGAGGAAAGAAGAGGAAATGGGAGAGGAGTCAGGGGACTTACACAAATTAACTCATGCCCAAACATTCCAAAGCATATTCCTGGACTCCTGTGGGTTTCAACAACCTGTCCGGTTTGAGTTAGTGTATGTATCCTAACTACACATAGCTCACCCCATAAAAAGTTAATAACATCCTACAATGGATTTATCTGTATCATTCCACACCTTTCTAGCCTAGTTTTCATGTTCCGCACAGTTTGTCTGTGGATGTTTGCGAATACACCAAAGCACATAAATTCACCACATCACTCACGCACATCCTAACAACATACACAAGCACAGATGTGCATTCAGTCACATTGATGCTCCACACAAACACAACCCTGAATTCACCCACAAATTCATACATTCAAAAACGACAAAAAAATCTGATAAATCTAGAGTAATAAATTGTGCAATCGTGTACTCCAAGAAAGTATTGATTTTTAATTGAGAAATCATGTTAATGGTGGGAATATAGTTTCCCCAAATATAGTAGAACTTTTTTTTTTTTTTTTAGAATATATGTAGCCAGTCCATTTGAAAGAAGTATAAATGTTTCTGTGTCTGAATCAACATTGGCGGGTTTGGTGAGCTCCAAACATGTAAGCTTGTTTTAGGGCAATTGTAGAAACAACTTTTGCTATTTTTTTTATGGGGGACCAGAAAGTTTGGGAATATACCAAATATAACAAATTTATCCGGGAGGTTGGCTGGCATGATTTTAAGAAAACAATCTTTTGATTGCAAAGGTGTGAATAAGAACATATTTTCAAAAAAAACAGTGCAAATCTACTTGGGGTGAATACAATTGAAACAGTTGAATACAGTTGTTTCTCTGTGATCCATTGCATAAAGAGATAAACTTGTTAACAAAGTGCAAAGTTTTTGGATTCATTTTGGTGCAGGCAATAGTAGTCGTAATTTGTTAGTATAAATATAGGATGACTAAAACTCTTTAAAGGACCACTATAGTGCCAGGAAAACATACTCGTTTTCCTGGCACTATAGTGCCCTGAGGGTGCCCCCACCCTCAGGGTCCCCCTCCCGCCCGGCTCTGGAAGGGGAAAGGGGTAAAAACTTACCTTTTTCCAGCGCTGGGCGGAGAGCTCTCCTCCTCCTCTCCGCCTCCGTTACGCCCCGCCGGCTGAATGCGCACGCGCGGCAAGAGCTGCGCGCGCATTCAGCCGGTCTCATAGGAAAGCATTTACAATGTTTTCCTATGGACGCTGGCGTGCTCTCACTGTGAAAATCACAGTGAGAAGCACGCAAGCGCCTCTAGTGGCTGTCAATGAGACAGCCACTAGAGGATTAGGGGGAAGGCTTAACCCATTCATAATTATAGCAGTTTCTCTGAAACTGCTATAATTATGAAAAATGGGTTAACCCTAGAAGGACCTGGCACCCAGACCACTTCATTAAGCTGAAGTGGTCTGGGTGCCTAGAGTGGTCCTTTAATGAAATTGTAAAAGGACAAAACTAAAGGGAAAATGAGTCAGGAAAGGCCTAGACAAAACAGGGACATGTGAGTGTGAGGGTGTGTGCATAGACAGAATAGTAAAAAGGTTCTTAGAATGGTGGGAGGAGGATTAGGGGCAAAGGGGTGGGATAGTATAAATAGGTGGGTGTTTTACAGGCTAAGCAGCAGTGGTGTATCCTGGTTTTGTGCTGCTCTAGGCAGGACAAAACTCAGGCGCCCCCATCCCTCCTCCCCCGCGCGCACGCGCGGCCCCCACCCATCCCTTCCCCCCGCCCCGCCTTCTAAATACACACACACACACTCACTGACAGATACACATACACTAGCTAACAGAAACACAAACTCACTGACACACACAGACACACACTCACTCACTAGCAGACACACCCTAGCAGACACACACACACTCACTGACACACACACTAACTGGCAAACATACACACACAGTCAGACACACACACACAGACACACACACTCACTAGCAGACACACACACTCACTGACACACACGCTCACAGGCAAACACACACACTCACTAACAGACACACACACTAACAGACACACACACTCACAGACACACTCACTAACAGATACACACACTAACAGACACACACACTCACAGACACACTCACTAACAGACACACTCACAGACACACTCACTAACAGATACACACACACTAACAGACACACACACTAACAGACACACTCACTAATAGACACACACACACACACACACACTAACAGACACACACACACTCATTCACATTAACACATGTATTTTTTTTAACCCCTCCAGCCTCCTTACCTTTGGGAATGCTGGGGGGGGGTTCATTATCTCCCTGGTGGTCCATTGGCTGCCGGTCGGGCTGATGGGCTGGCTGCTGGGTGGGCGGCTGGCGAGGGAGCTCTTCCTCTGAGCACAGTGCTGCACAGTGAGGCTGGGAGCCGGAAGATGACATCATATTCCGGCTCCCAGCCTCACTCTGCGGCGCGCGAGGGAGCTGAGCAGACTGCTCAGATGAAGAGTTCCCTCGCCAGCCGCCCGCCCGACCATCAGCCAGCGCTGCCCCCCCAGCCCGGCACGTCTGTTAGCCGCAAGGCTAACAAGGCATTTGACCTGGGCATTTGGGGCGGCTTTTTTTGCCGCCCCCTGAAAAATGCCGCCCAAGGCAAATGCCTTGTTTGCCTCACAGCTAAAACGCCCCTGCTAAGCAGTCATCTTAATTATCAGTTGGTAATAGCTTGGTAGTTACATTGGTATTTGCTTCCTTTGATTACCTGCTTGCCAAGTGGTGTTTTCGGCCAGGGTCTGAGTATGGACATCAAGGCTGTCCTTTCTGTCCTCAGGGCTTAGGGCTTACAAGATGGGGGTCTGCACCTGCAGGCAGAGGTGGCTCTCTAATTGGGCGATTTAGGCCTTGCACGGTCTGGGGCCTCGCAGCTAAATCGCCATAGGGCAGACTGGCATGTCGGGTCTTCGGTCTATGACTGAGGGCCTGACACAGAAGGGGGCCAGGCCGCCGGGTGCAAAGCCCATCAAGTTAGCCTGCATGGGAGAGAGCCAGCCTCCTGTCTGCAGCTCTGTCAGGTGCAGAGCTTCAAACTGAGGTGTCTCGCGATTTCAGCCAATCAGAGCATTGCTGCGGGTTACCACGGAAATGCTCTGACTGGAGATCGCGAGACTTACCACGTGGTCTGCAGCTCTGCACCAAGGGGAGCTGCAGACCTGTACAGACCACCAGATCACCAGGGATACAGCCTGCCCACCTGACCACCGGGTCCCTACCACCATCTGCCCCAGCCCCCACACCACCCCCTGCCCTGTCACAGCCCCCACCACCCCCTACCCTATCACAGCTCCCTCACCCCCCCTACCCTGTCACAGCCACCCCACCAAACCCTAGCTGTCACACTCGCCCACCACCCTTACCCTGTCACAGCCCCCCACCACCCTCTACCCTGTCAAGTCCCCCCCCCACACTCCCTTCCCTCACACCCTGTCTCCTCCCTGGTCATCACCCCTTCCCCCCCTCCTCCCCCCCCTACCTGGGTTAGTCCCCCCCTACCACCTCCCCCCCCTGGTTCTTGTCCCAGCAGCCTGCTACAGCCCCCCCTGTCACAGCCCCATACCCCTGCCCAGGGTCAAATATACCAAGCCCTCCCCCTTTTCTCTTTTTTATTTGCCCCCA